GCAATTTTAGGGGACAATGATGTCTATGAACAGTATGTCCTCAGATCCTGGTAGAGACATGCAATGGGCAGGAAGAGACACGACAAAGGTCTGGGCTAGAGGTATTTCGGGAAGCTATCAGCATATAGTAGGTCGAAATCCCAGGTAGTCAAGAGGGGGAGGTGTGTAGGACAAAGTTATAGAAGGATGTGCTATGGACCCCTGGGATCTATCTTGCATCTGTACACTAGGGGGAAGCGGCTCAGGGCAGTGTCCAGGAGTACTGAACAGAGGCCTTGGGAAGGTATAATGACAATTTCCATGGAGATGGCCTCATTCTTGTCTGTTGTAATCCTAGGGAAACCAAAAAGGACATCCAGATCTTGAAAGATGGCAAATGCTGACTCCAAAGCAGCATTTCGAGCTATTAAGTTCCAGACTGGAGAACATTAGCAGGCAAGAAGAGGATGTGACATGAAATAAAAGATGCAGCCCAACTGAAGTGAACCAGTGTCTTTGGGGACTCTTGAGGGGTGGTTACAATAAGAGGTAGACTAAATCTTGCACTGTTCTTCCTGCTCTGAATCTCATGTCCAGTTCCTCTCTATACCTCGTATACTCAACCTTGTCATATATCCCCTTAGAAGTCCCAATTACCTTCTGTCTGCTCGAGAGACCAGCCTCTGGCTTCAGGACACTGCCCAGTGCTTCTGCTTGCCAGAGTGAGAACTGTTAGGCCAAGCATCTAGGTAAAATGCTGTTACTGGATGTATGGTTCAGGTAGTATGTGAAAGGAACTTATTGTTTTATCAAACTAGTTGATTTTGCTTGCTTGTTTGAGACAGGGTCTCATTAGGTAGTTCAGGCTAGTCTTGAACTGTTTCAGCCTTTTAAGTGCTGAAATTACAGGTGTGTACTATTGCACTCTGCTTCAAACTAGGTCTTTAATAAACATTGACAACTAATCACTTCTCCAAGCCCTCTGAATTTCCTCCTGCACCTTAGGCCACCCAGATTATCACCACTGAGATTAACTCATGGATCTCCCAGTGTCTAGGGTTAAATTCTGGCATAGCAGGATTTCTAGTCCCACTTCTGTACTTTAGGACAACATCTACTCTGACTGGCTGGCATTAGACACAACCCCAGGTACACACAGCATACATACATATACCCAATGACCAGAAATTCCACAAAAATCATTGATGTTATATAATGATCTCTTCTTGGGTAAAAACCATCAGAGGGAGCCTCCTGATAATGGTAGCAAGGAAAAGGAATATGGAGAGGGCCCTTGTCAAGCAGTTTCACACAGACAAGATTTTCTACTCTGTGGGGGTAAAAATAGAAAGTAAAGAGCTCACACTTGTAATCAAAGCTACTCAGGAGGTTGAGAGCTGATAATTCTGATTCAGAGCCAGCCTGGGTAGACAAATCCCAAGACTCATTTCCAAATATCTAACACAAAGCAGAAACAGATGTGTGGTTCAAGTGGTATAGCACTAAGGGTGAGCAAAAAAAGCCAAGTGAGAGTGGCATTGTCCAAAAAGAAGTGTACTCTAAGCTGGATGCTGGTGGCTCACACCTGTAATCCTAGATACTAAGGAGGCTGAAATCTGAGGATCACGGTTTAAAGCCAGCCCAGGAAGGATACTCTGTGAGACTCTTACCTCCAATAAACTACTCAAAAAAAAAAAAAAAAAAAGCCACAAGTGGCACTGTGGCTCAAGTGGGAGAGCACTAACCTTGAGCTAAAAGCAGCTCAGAGACAGTGCCCAGGCCCAGAGTTAAAGCCCCAGGAGTGGCAAAAAAAAGAAAGAAAAAGAGAGAGAGAGAGAGAAAGAAAGGAAGGAAGGAAGGAAGGTACTCTTTACCTGACTTGTGTAACTGTTACTCCTCTGTACAGTACCTTTATAACAACAAAAACTTTTTAAAGCGTATAAAAAAAAAATTCAGCTAGGCACTAGTTGCTCTAGCCACTCTAGCTACTGAGATCTGAAGATCTCAATTCAAAACCAGCCCAGGTAGGAAAGTCATTGAGACTCTTATCTCCAGAAAACTGGAAGTAGAGCTGTGGTTCAAAGTGGTAGAATGTTAGCACTGAGCAAAAGAGCTCAGGACAGCACCCAGGTCTTAAGTTCCACCATCAGGAAAAAAAAAAAAAAAGCCAAGCAAGAGAGCATGAGGTCCTGAGTTCAAGTGCTAATACCAGGAAGCAGGGCAGGGGGAGGGGGGAAGGGGAAAATATGTAACACCTGAGAGGAAAGCAAACTATGCAAAATGATGCTCCAGTACTTTTAGGAAAGGAACACAAAGGAACAACGCCCTTGTACAACTGATCATATAAAATATTTAGCTGGGAACCATCTGTAACCCTGGCTACTCAGGAGGCTGAGATCTGAGGATCACAGTTCAAAGCCTGGACAGGAAAGTCTGTGAGATTCTTATCTCCAATAAACCACCAGAAAACCAGAAGTGGTGCTGTGGCTCAAGTGGTAGAGCACTTGCTTTGAGCTGAAGAGCTGAGGGACAGCACCCAGGCCCAGAGTTCAGGCCGACTAAATAAGTAAATAAATAAATAAATAATATTTATTAAAATGAACTCCAGGAAACAAGAAAAAAAAAAAAACCGTGATGCCCCAAGCTCTATGTTTTAACTCTGCCATCCTCATTAGTTGGGCAGTGGCTCCAACACCAGCCCTCATGCCTGAGGCCAGGGAAGAGTACACCACCTGACTCTAAGAGTCTCATACTCTGTTAACATCACTGGGGCTGTGAAGGTGGGTCAGTGGTAGAGTGATTATCTTGCATGCATGGGGCCCTGGGTTCCATTCCTCAGCACCACATAAGCAGAAAAAGCCGGAAGTAGGGCTGAGGCTCAAGAGGTAGAGTGCTAGTCTACGGCTGAAGAGCTGAGGGACAGTGCCCAGGCCCAGAGTTCAGGCCCCACAACCGACCAAAAAAAAATTCACAGTAACTAAAGTATCATTTCTTAGCCATGTGAGAGCAAGAAGATCAAGAAATAAAATCTTTTGAGTTAAACTAACTTCCCTTATTGTATGAAGGGAAAAATAAATATTAGCATCTAAAAGCCTCCCAAGTGGAAAGCCCTTCTTCCACCCAAGTGGTACAGATCAGCCAAGCATCTCCTCAATAAGTGCTCCTTTACAGACTTCCATTCAGCCTTTTAGAAATCACAGATTAAGCCAGGCACTGGGAGCTCACACCTGTAATCCTAGCTACCCAGAGGGTTGAGATCTGAGGATAGCAGTTGAATAGTGATAGGGATTGACTATGAAAACCCAGCTGCAGCCGGGCGCTGGTGGCTCACGCCTGTAATCCTAGCTACTCAGGAGGCTGAGATCTGAGGATCACGGTTCAAAGCCAGCTCGGGCAGGAAAGACTGTGAGACTCCTATCTCCAATAAACCACCAGAAAACCAGAAGTGGCGCTGTAGCTCAAGTGGTAGAGCGCTCGCCTTGAGCTGAAGAGCTGAGGGACAGCGCCCAGGCCCAGAGTTCAAGCCCCACGACTGACCAAAAAAAAAAAAGAAAACCCAGCTGCCCATGACCTTTCCAAAGTTACATGGCAGAAACTTGGCATCCTGCTGTCTCTCTCTCCTCTCTCTCTCTTTGGTCAGTTGTGGGGCTTGAACTCTGGGCTTGAGCACTATCCCTGAACTCTTCAGCTCAAGGGGAATGCTCTACCACTTGAGCCACAGAGCCACTTCTGGTTTTCTAGTGGTTTATTAGAGATAAGAGTCTCACAGACTTTCCTGCCCAGGCTGGCTTTGAACCGTGATCCTCAGATCTCAGCCTCCTGAGTAGCTGGGATTACAGGCATAAGCCACTCGGCTCTCTCTCCCTCTCTTATACACACACACAATGGATATTGCTGTGAGAGGGGAAGAGCAATGTCTTCCCATAGTCCCAGTACTCAGGAAATTGAGGCAAGTTCTCCAGGCTTGCTATGTAGTCTGGGGTACATAGCAAGATCCTGACCACCGCCCCCCCCCCCAAAAAAAAAAAAAAAAAGAAAAAAGAAAGACAGGAGAGGGGATTACTCAAATGGTAGAGTATTTGCAAGGGCCTGGGTTGAATTTTCAGTACTGAAAACAAAAAAAAAATTGTTGTTAACAAGAGGGGAGAAATCGAAACACTCTTCTGACCAACGATGGACACACAAACTGATTTTATTGCAGTGGAGTAAGTACATGTATGGACAGAACAGCCACAAAGGAAGCATCGATCACAAAAGAATTAAAAGAAACACCCTTGAAGGATGATGGCACTCTTGAGAAGTTTCTGGTTGACTTAATCTCTATCTACTTTACTCATTCTGACTTCTCCTCTTTGCCCTTCCTATTCATTGTTCTGAACTGGTATCAAGCAGAGACTCAGTAGGCACTACTCTCTTGACATTCTGAAGATTTTTTTCATGGACAAGGCTTTCCCTCAGGGATAGCCTGAGAGGAAGATATCTCAAAGACTTGTGGCTAAGCAAGGGACACTGGGATGTGAGGACAGGGTGTTTCAGTCATCAGTCCAGTCAGATGTTCTGTAAAACCTCACAACAAAGGACTGTGGATTGCCTATGTGACAAACCCAACTTTCCTAACTGGATGCAACCTACTAACAATCCTGGGATTCTGGGATTACCAGGTCAAGAAAGCCCTTCTTACATGCTGAGACCAGGATGCCTTAAAAGCCTGGTACTATTTCAAGACAAGAACTCTCATCAAGCTGGATGCTGGTGGCTCACACTTGTAACCCTAGCTACTCAGGAGGCTGAGAGCTGAGGATCACAGTTTGAAGCTATCCCTGGCAGCAAAGTCTGTGAGACTCTTATTTCCACTAAACTATTAAAAAAAAGTTGAGCTATGGCTCAAGTGGTAAAGTGCTAGCCTTGTGCAAAAGAAGCTCAGGGACAGTGCACAGGCCCTGAGTTCAAGCCTCAGGACTGGCAACAAAAGAAACCCCAAAACTTCTCATCAGCCCAAACAAAGCACCTATCAAAAAAACTGATAAAACATGGGCGAGGAGGGCAAGTCTAGAAAAGGCAGCTGCTGGATTGTACAGCCACCCGGACACAAAATGAGAAAACAGACAAGCAACTCTACTTTAGATTGCAAAGACAGTACATTTTCATTGAGAACCCGTGTAGGAGTAGGAAAATTGGCAATTGACTAGATGACTCTGGCAGCCCTGGAGAAAACAGGCAACTTCTGTTCCAGAGCGGTGGTGCTGCAATTCAGAACAGTACAGCCTTTCTCCACTGTACCTCACTCAGCAAGGGCCAAGTTTGTAGACTGTAGCCGTTCGGTCTCCTGGCAGATGTTCTGCTCCACCGTGTCACACTCAGCTAGGAATGCCTAAAAGATACATACAAGGCAGTGAGAACTATCCAAGGGTAGTAAATCACTGCCCACATAAGCTCTGCTGATGGTGGTAAACTGTACATAGATGGAAATGGGCACCCAGCCTGGGCTCCAACATAAGGGGACATGGGAAAAGGAAGCATGAGGCTGGAGTTTCTTTTTTCTTTTTTTTTTGTCAGTCGTGGGGCCTGAACTCTGGGCCTAGGCGCTGTCCCTCAGCTCTTCAGCTCAAGGTTAGTGCTCTGCCACTTGAACCATAATGCCACTTGCGGCTTTTTTTACTTATGTAGTGCTGAGGAATTGAACCCAGGGCTTCATGCATGCAAGGCAAGCACTCTACCACTGAGCCACCTTCCCAGCCCCTTGAGTTTCTGACCAGTCCCTAGTCTTACAACTCCCTAAAAGGTAGTACAGACAGTGGTACCTTGCCTCAGCTAGGACTGTGCTAGTACTCAAATGAAGGTGGCACTGCACATATGAACTAAGCCTTCTAGAACTGTGTAATGTTCTAACCCTAGCTGCTCTCCAATAAATGTCTTTCCTAGATAGATTAAATTCTAATAGAGAGAAATGAAATGGGCTTTTCTCTGATACTCTGGGTTAATTCAGATAAGGAATAACAAAAAAGCCAGGCTATGCTAATGATCATATTTCTACACTACTCTACTTTGAACAGATAAACACACACCAATACATTAATAATATTATAGTTTGTGGTATGCTACTACACAACTCACCTGAACCTTTTTCACCAAGCCTTTCCTTTTTAACCTACTGTCTTTAAAATTTTCTGGTAGGATCTATGGAAGAAAAAGTTGACACATAATCTTTAGTGATAAACAGAAGATGCACTTTGAAAACATATTCCATACACCAAGCAAATCATAGGTCACCAATATGAATGTGACAGTCATTTTCAGGAATCATTTCTCCAGGTCTGGGTCCAAAATGGACATTTTCATAGCTTTCATCCCTATAAAAGCATCTGCTCTCCATATCTGAACCATAAAACTACTCCAGAACACAGACTTTGTTTTTTGGTGTTTTTTTTTCCTGCTGTTTCCTAGGTATGGATACTATGTCCTGGCCAGATCATGAGCTTACCATGCCAGGAAAAGTACTTCCTCATTTTTTTTTTTTTTAACCACCGTGCCCCATTCCATAGCAGCCCAAACCCAAAGCACTTCACCCTGAAGAATGAAGCATCAGGCATCAGGTTAGAGATATCATTACTGCCATTTGCAAAAGAGAATCCAGGATCTATGATTCAATAGTCACACAAGAATTCTGGTTGAATTCTACAAAGAAAATGAGTGCAGAGGAATAACCAATTATCTAAGTAAAATGAGTCTTGTGTTCTTTGAACATGAAATTATGGTCCACTTCCTACCTTCATGACTACAAATGTTGAAAGCATCCATTAGTATGTGACAAAAACCCTAGGTTGGTGGACTATGAGTGCCTAGAGATCAGGAACCATCTTAGTGTCTGTGTATTCACCTAGGACCCAGCACGACATACTCAAGTGATGGGTTTGCTCAGGCAACAGGCATATGTTACTGAGTGAAACTGACTGAAATACTGTCATAAGGAACTAAATCTTCTGAGCTGAAAATTTACTTACCATTGTGTCAATCTCCTCCAAGATCCTCATAAACTGCTCAATTGTGCCCTTTACTCTCCTGTCAAGTTTATAGAGAGCTTCGGCTTGTAAATCCTTAGCCAGAAAACCCTGTGGGGGAAATAATGCATTATTACAAGCATTCCTTGAGGCTGAAGGAAAATTCCACACCCTAGTACTGAGAAAGTAACCAAAAAACTTAGTTCAATTCAGCCCTAAGAAGCCAAGATACTACTCAGACCTATAACTTTATCTCTTAAGATAAAGGGAAAGGCTGGCCTTAGACCAATCAAAGAATTCTACCAGGCTACATGATCTCCTGGCCATTCAAATGTTTCCTCAGGCCTGGCTCCAGTGAAGCCCCTAGTCCCAAGTATATACCTGCACACAAGAAATAAGTATTAAGAGCAGAAGCTAGGGAAATGTAGCACAGTGGCAGAGTGTTTGACCTAGCAAGTGTGAGGTCCTGCGTTCGATCTTCTGGTTTTCTAGTGGTTAACTGGAGATAAGAGTCTCACGCCCGGGGCTGGGAAGGTGGCTCAGTGGTAAAGCACTTGCCTTGCATGCCTGAGGCCCTGAGTTCAATTCCTCAGCACCACATAAGCAAAAAGAAAAAAGCCGGAAGTGGCACTGTGGCTCAAGTGGTAGAGCGCTAGCCTTGAGCTGAAGAGCTGAGGGACAGCGCCCAGGCCCAGAGTTCAGGCCCCATGACCAGACCCAAAAAAAAAGAGTCTCATGGCCGGACGAGGGTGGCTCATGCCTATAATTCTAGCTACTCAGAGGAGGCTGACATCTGAGGATCGAGGTTCAAAGCCAGCCTGGACAGGAAAGTCCGTGACACTCTTATCTCCAATAAACCACCAAAAAACCGAAGTGGTGCTATAGCTCAAGTGGTAGAATGCTAGACTTGAGCTGAAGAGCTGAGGGACAGCGCTCACACCCAGAGTTCAAGCCCTATGACCAACAACAACAACAAAAAAGTCACACACTTTCCTGCCCAGCCTGGCTTTAAACCGAGATCTTCAGATCTCAGCCTCCTGAGTAGCTAGGATTACAGGCATGTGCACCAGTGCCCAACTCTTGGATTTGATCTTTAACACCATTTAAAAAGAAAAAAGGAGCGCTGGCCTTGAGCTAAAGAGCCAAGGGACAGTGCCCAGGCCCAGAGTTCAAGACCTACAACAGACAAAAAAAGAAAAAGAAAAAGGCTTTAGTGGGCTGGGAAGGTGGCTCAGTGGTAGAGCGCTTGCCTTGCATGCCTGAGGCCCTGGGTTCGATTCCTCAGCACCACATAAGCAAAAAAAAGAAAAAAGCTGGAAGTGGTGCTGTGGCTCAAGTGGTAGAGCGCTAGCCTTGAGCTGAAGAGCTGAGGGACAGCGCTCAGGCCCAGAGTTCAGGCCCCACAACCGGACCCAAAAAAAAAAAAAAAGGCTTTAGTTCTCACAGATGTGGGCTTGACTTTCACTTACTACTTTTGCTCTTGAACAAGTTACTTAAGCTATCCAAGCCTCAGCAACCTCGTCTTTATAGAAGAGACTATGATACCTACACCCAGAGGGGTTACTGTGAAGAAAAAGGTATGTAGATACTTAACATGACTCATAGCATAGACATATGCTAATAAATGAGCAGCAGGGCTCACTATTAAATTTTCTTGTTGTTCATTCACATTGCCTTCATTAATGACCAGCCAACTGATGGCATGTGTTAGAAAGCAGCTGCATACCAGCTGCTCAAGCCTGCAATCCTAGTTACTCTGGAGCCTAAGATTAAGAGGATCGAAGTTCAAGGCCAGCCCATGCACAAAGTCCATATGACTTTATCTCCAAAATAACCAGCAAAAAGCTGGCTCAGGTTTGGAAGCATGGCTCAAGTAGTAGAGTGCCATCTCTGAACAAGAAAGCTGAGCATAAGAGTGAGAAGACCTAGGGGCTGGGAAGGTGGCTCAGTGGTAGAGCGCTTGCCTTGCATGCATGAGGCCCTGGGTTCGATTCCTCAGCACCACATAAGCAAAAAGAAAAAAGCCGGAAGTGGCACTGTGGCTCAAGTGGTAGAGCGCTAGCCTTGAGCTGAAGAGCTGAGGGACAGCGCCCAGGCCCAGAGTTCAGGCCCCACGACCGGACCCAAAAACAAAAAAAAACAAAAAAGAGTGAGAAGCCTTGAGTTCAAGAGCTGGACTGAAACACACACACACACACACACACACACACACACACACACACACACACACATAAAGCTGGCTCAAGTGGTAGAGTGCCAGTTGTGAGTGAAAAAGCCAAGTAGGCAAGAGACTCTGAGTTCAAATCTCAGTAGAAAAAAAAAAGGTTTAGAAAGCCGAAATATCTGTAAAGCCTTGAGCTCATTTGATCCCTAGCACCAAGACAAACAAACAAACAAAGAGGAACTCTGAAGATGTTTATCACAGCTGAGTGTTATATACGCATATTTGACTACATATAGTAAAAACATCCAACAGTATCTAGTGATTCTAAGTCAATTCTACCAAAAAAGTTTTTTAAAGGATCTATTTTCAAGAACATTCAAAGAAGCATTACATATAATCATAAAAAATTTTTATTAGGCTAGCAAGGCACAATAGCAGACATGTATATCCCTAGCATTTGGGAAGTAAATGTAAGAGGACCTTGAGCTTCAGGCCAGCCTGGACAATACTGGAAGACCCTGTCTCCAAAAAGGGGCTTCCAACTGGGTGCCAGTGGCTCACATCTATAGTCCTAGCTACTCAGGAGGCTGAGATCTAAGGATTGAGGTTTGGAGCCAGGCAGGCAGAGAAGTCCATAAGACTCTTATCTCCAACTAATCACTCCCCCCCATAAAAAAGGAGGTGGAGCTGTGGCTCAAATAGTAGAGTGCCAGCCCTAAGCAAAAAAGCTCAGAGATAGCATCCAGGCCCTGAGTTCAAGCCCCAGGATCAGTACCAAAACAAAAGGCTCCAAGACAGTAGGCATGGCCAAGTGGTGCCAATTCAAAGTGAAAAGGGGCTCATCTAAGTGTAGTGTTGCCCACCTGCAATCTCAGTACTAGAGAGGCTAAGAGGATCAGGAGTTCAAGGTCAGTCTGGATACTACACAGTGAGACAATTATCTCAAAACAACAACAAAAGTACAAGGACTAGGAATGTAGATCAGTGGCAGAGCTCTTGCCTAGCATGCTCATGACCCAGCACTTTTGAAAAAAGACTGGGTGACAAAGACTAGAGAGAGTAAGTTCAACCATTTTATATTTATACATGATGAAATATGTAACCTTTGAAAAATATATTTTCAGACAGGCACCAGTGACTCACACCTATAATCATAGTCACTAAAGGAGGCAGAGATCTAAGGAACATCATGGATGATGATCAAGTTATGTAAGTTACCCATGCTTCAGCAACCTCATTTTTATATAAGAGATTATGATACCTACACCCAGAGAGGTTACTGTGAGAAAAAAGGGGAATATATGTAGATATTTGGCTGGGAATGTGGTTTAGTGGTAGTGTTTGCCTAGCATACATGAAGCCCTGGGTTTGATTCCTTAGTACCACATTAACAGAAAAAGCCAGAAGTGGCACTATGACTCTATGACTCAAGTGGCAGAGTTGTTAGCCTTGAGGAAAAAGAAGCTCAGGGGCAGTGCTCAGGCCCTGAGTTCAAGCCTCGGGACTGGCAAAAAAAAAAAAAAAAAAATGTGCGTGCGTGTGTAATCCCAAAAGGCTCAAAGTGGAGCTGCTAGTCTTGAGCAAAAAAAAGCTCAGGGACAGCCCTCAGGCTGAGTTTAAGCCCCAGGTCTGGCATACACACACACACACACACACACACACACACACACACACACACACACACACACACACACACACACACACACACACACACACACACTCTCTCTCTCTCTCTCTCTCTCTCTCTCTCTCTCTCTCTCAAGCCCCAGGTCTGGCACAAACATACACACACACACACACACACACACACACACACACACCCCACGTATACATACACACATTCTCAATGACATAGAAATTGTTCAATTTGCTGGCAAATAAAAGAACAATTTACAAAGTACACATAACAGCATTTTAGTTAAAAATGAAAACATATTTCAGACTTTTATAATGGTCATCTCTGAGTCAAAGTGTCTATACTATACATTAAGAGACAGATATTAAAAGCACAGACATTAAGGTCTCAAGGTCTGGGCTTGAATCCTAACAGCCAGGTACTGGATGGTCCTTTTTATAAGTCATTTTTATTTTCCGTATTAGTACCTATACATGTTTTTAAAACTTTCATACTACCATTACATATTATTACTATTTATTATTTTTCTGGTATTGAAGGATTAGCTCAGGGCCTTCCATTTGCTGGGCAGGTAGGTGAGTGCTCTATCACTTCAACCATAACTCCTAGCCCTTTTTGCTTTATTGTTAGAATAGTCTTTTTTTTTTGGAGGGAAGAGGAGTACTGGGACTTGAACTCACAGCCTCATACTTTTGCTTGGCTTTTTTGCTCAAGGCTAGTGCTCTACCACTTGAGCCACACAACTTCCAATTTAGTTAACTGGAGATAATAGTCTCTCAGATTTATTGCCTGGTCTAGCTTCAAGCCTCAGTTCTCAGATCTCAGCCTCCTGAGTAGCTAGGCATGAGCCACTGGCACCCAGCAGAATAGGGTCTTTACCTATCCCAAATAGTAAAGAGCACTTTTGCCCAAGATGGGCTAAACACCATCTTCCTATTTACACTTCCTGTGTAGCTGGAATGATAAATGCATACTACCATGCACAGCTGAAATGCGAGTCTTGCTAACTCCATCTTTTTTGCCTAGTCGGTTCTCCAATCATAATCTTTATCTCCACCTTTCAAGTAGCTAGAGTTATAGGTGTGAGCCACATGCCCAGCCTATACATTCATTACTCTTATAATTAAAGCACAAAGGTATACTCGATAGTGTTATAAAATGAAAGGGGAAATAGTTGGTCTTGGGCTATTCCTAATCTTTACTGGTTTTCATCTCTAATAAGAATTAAATAGAATAATTCCCATGTTACCAAGATCAAACTAAACCTGGACTCTTCTATGAATCAACAAAATGTTCTTCACTGGGCTAGGGTTGTAGATCTATGTGAAACACTTGCCTACCATACTCTAGGTTCAAGGTTCAACTCCAAGCACTGAAAAACAATTTTATTTATTTATTTTTTGCCTTGCTAAAAATCATACTTGGACTGTGAGAAGTCCACCTGTTCACACATGATCCTAACATGTAGGTATCCACTATGAACATAAATGGATGCTGACTGACAACGTCCTTAGAAAAAACTCTCATAGCAGTCCTTACAGGGAGACACTATTATTCTTTTTGGTACATGAGGAGACAAAGATAAACTTGACCATAATAAGAGAAAGGGTAACGGGCTGAGGATGTTGCTTGCAGTGGTAAAAAGTCCTGGATGATATCTCCAGCACAGCATTAAAAAGAAAAACAGAGAAAGGTGGAGTCAGAATCCTAACTGAGGGAGTCTGACTGCAGAGCCTGCCAACATAACCAAACATCATATCCACAAAATTCTTACAGGCAGTGGAAAGTTAAAGTTCATGAAGGAAGTTACCTGCTGGATTCCAGTAAATTCTTTATTCAACTCTTCCAGGTGGTCAGCTATCTTCTCCACAGACTTCTCCAAATGTTTCAATTTCTTTAGTTCAGCCTTTTCTTCTGGGTTATTCTAAGAAGAAAAATAAAATGAAGCCAATAGTCACCAAGAACTGTAACTATTTGGCCTCTATTGAGACTATGACCAGAATTGTGTTAAACCATTCACCTAGGAAGAATGGATTTAACTCTCCTGCTTCTTAGAAAGCAAGTCAAAGGATTATACAAAGAGGTTTTGTAGCTACAAAGATTCTATAGAGAAGAAAGATGTTAGGGAAATAGTCTACTAAGTACTAACAACTTGGGTTGAGAAAATGAAGCAAATCTAACCTCAGCTGTGTGCTGATCAACAGCCAGACTGAAGACCACAGACTGAATTTAACTATTCCTTGGTTTTGATGTTGTTTTAGTTTTGGTTTGGTTTAATTTTTCTGAGACAGGATCTCACTATGTAGTCCAGGTTGGCCTTGTTCAAATTTTCATTCCTTTCACACTTCAGCCACAGCTGGAATTATAGACATGCCCAATACAACTATTCCTTTAAATGGAATTCCTAAATGTTGTCCTATTTAAGATGACAATAACAATGACATATAACAATAAAAGTGATGATGATTAGTGTTTATTATCCTTACATGTCAGGCACTATCTTAAGCATGTTACCTGTATTGCTTTTTTAAGCCTTATCACAGCCCTTACAGATGATGAAACTGAGACTTAATATAGTAAAGTGACCTAAGGTCATACAACCCAAATGAGATAAAACAGACTTGAATTCAGAGACAGTTCCAACTGGAAGTCTAAACATTTTTTTTAAAGACTCAACCCATGGGAAGAAAAAAGAGAACAGTACTGAAGTTTGAATTCAGGGCCTCATACTTAATAGGGAGGCACTCTAATCACTTTAGTCACACCCCATCCCATGAGATTTCGAATATTTACCTTTCTTTCACCTGAACAACTGGTAGCCAAGGCCAGCAGCTTCCTGGTTTGTATACTATTCCCAATTATTCATGCCTCTTTGTGGCCAAATCAAGCTAAGCTCCAATCTCCTGGTAGTTCCAAGTCTAGATTGGATTTGTTTGGTTCCATTTTGCTAATCTCTGTCATATCTCTACTTAGTCACCTCAAGGCAACTTCATATGCTCAAAAATTCCACTGTGTCATGTGCTGGGAAGGTGGCTCAGTGGTAGAGTGCTTGCCTTGCATGTGTGAAGCCCTGCGTTCAATTCCTCAGCAACACATAAGCAGAAGGTAGCCCGAAGTGGTGCTGTGGCTCAAGTGGCAGAGCGCTAGCCTGGGACAGCGCCCAGGCCCAGAGTTCAAGCCCCACGGCCCACAAAAAAAAAAAAAAAAAATTCCACTGTATCACAGTGAAGAGCTGGCCATAGTCCTCTCTCATCACCTCAGGGAGCACTGCCTCAACTGCCACCAGATGACTTTCCCCAACTCAGTTTGGTTGGGTTTTTTTGTTGTTGTTATTATTGTTGCTTTCTGGTACCAGGTTTATAACTCAAGGCCTTGAATTTTCTTTGCTTGTTTGCTTGGCTAGCACTTTACCACTTCAACCATGCCTCCAGATTTGCTTGTTCAGATTTGTTGTTGCTTGTTCTGAAGGTAGAATAACAGACTGTTCTTACTGAGATGGCTTCAAATTGCAATCTCCTTGCATTGGAGCCACATCTCTACTGCTGGATTTTTTTGTAGTTATTGGAGATCAAAGTCTCACAGACTTTCCTACCCATGCTGGCTTTGAAATGTGATCCTCAGAGTTCAGCCTCCTGAGTAGCTAGGATTACAGGCATGAGCCACTGGCACCCAGCGTGAGTCTTATTTTTAATATCTATATGTTCATTTTAACCAAAAGACTCTTGCAAATTCCACTCCAAATAAGGAGTGCCTGCTCCAGGCACCATTTTAATCATCCTGACAATCAAAAGCCATGTTAAGATAGTGATACTGCCCCTAATTCCTACAGCAAAAGCCCAAATACTAAATCAATAGGTTCAAGAAGGTATAAAAATCAGGACAAAAAACCTGATAATTCAATCAAATTGTATAAAAAAAAGGCCTGTTGTTGGATACCATGTAATCCTAGCTACTCAAAAGGCTGAGATTCAGGAATAGCACCTAGGTCCACAGTTCAAGCCCCACAATTGGCAAAAAAAAAAAAATACTCAAAAGGCTGAGATTTCAGGATCACTGTTCAAAGACAGCCCACACTTGCTATGAAACTCTTCAATTAACCAGCAAAAAGCCAGAAGTGGAGTTGAGGCTCAAGGGGTATAGCCCTAGCCTTCAACAAAAAAGCTCAGTGAGAGTACCTAAGCAGAGTTAAAGATTCTCTCTCTCTCTCTCTTTCACACACACACACACACACACACACACACACACACACACACACACACACACACACACACACACACACGCAAGTCAAACTTAGTCCTCTAAATGGAAGTGAATGTAAAAGACTTTAGTCACTTGATTCTGACCAATACTGGTAGAAAACGTGATTTACCTTTTCCCCAATTAACATAACCCGGCAACCATTTTGTATTCCAAGTGCTGACAAAGGTGAGTCCATTTCCTTCAAAGATTTCCCTGCAAAGAGGAGAAAACTATGTCAAGTTATAGCAACTGCATAACACTGAAATTGACTTGAGAGAGAGCAAGAGGAAGGGAGGAAGGAGGAAGAGGAGGAGAAAGGAGAGGTAAGAAAGATGGGAGGGAGGGAAGAGGGAGGGAAGAGAAAGAGAAAAGGGAGGGAGAGAGGGAGGGAAGGTGAGAGCAGACCTCAGCAAATGTATAATTGTAATCATTAATGAAAAGAGCATAAATTTGTGTAACCATTTTAGGAAATGTTTGTTTCTTTTTTTGTTAGTACTGGAGTTTAAACTCAGGACTTCATGCTTGAAAGGCAGATGATCTACTATTTTAATCATGTCCCCAACCCTTTTAGCTTTATTTTTCAGATATCTCTCAAGTTTTTCTGCTAGATTGGCCATGTACAAAGATCCTCAAGCCTGCGGCTGAGATGACAGGCTTGTACCGCCACACCTAGCTTATTGATTGAGATGTGAAAACTCACTAATGTTTTTCCCAGGCTGGACTCAAACTGCAATCCTTACAATCTCGGCCTCCAAAGTAGTTGAAATCATAAACCTAAACCTGCCACACCTTGATTGCTTTTTGTTTGTTTTTTGCTTTTGAGACAGGGACTCACTATATTGCCTACTTTTGCATGAAACTTGAGTTTGTCTCTAGAGTGCCTGGGAAACAGGGGTACATAATCATGTCCAGACTTGAAATGTCAAACTCCATTACTTGTGTAATTTAGAAATGTTTCAAGAAGAAAAGAAAAAAGGAGTTGTATTGTGAAATATAAACAAAAATGCTTCCTATTACTAAGTTCCTGATAATGACTGTCACTCAATGAGATAAATCTAGCAGGTAAGAATAATAGGTGCCTTTGTGGGAGGGCAGAGAACAGGGGTGGAGAGGAGATAGGTTCTAGCACTAATAAGCATTGCCTAGTGGACCTTTAGAACCAGGCCCCTATAAATTTGGTTTAATGAAGCAAATGGTCAGATTTCTGCCATCTTTATGTCACTTCAAATCTGGCACTTGTTCAGATGTCTGAAGTCTAGTACATAGTAAGTCCTTAATAAAACTTTTGCTAAAAGAATAAATGAACAAAACTAAAATGGTTCCAATTTGAAATCTGAGAGTTACAATTAGGTATGGGTAAGCACTAACCACAGGGTCAAGGCTGAGAGAGAAATACCTACCCTTAAATATAAGCTTCTGAAAAGGCTGTGGAACACCTGTGGCCTCTTCAACAACCTGGGCCAGGTCTTGGACAACTGGTTCAAGGCTTCCCTGCTGCGGGATAACATAAAGATCGTGCTTCTCATTGCCTAGGGAGAAAGAAAATGATTTAATGAAGATAACTCTTTCACAGAAACCAATACAGGTTGATGCTTTATTATATTTTAACCAGGCTTCAAGGCCCAGCTCATCTGATACCAACTCCAAAGTGCTTGCCCCCATCTGCCTAAGTCTACCTTTCCTTTGGTAACTTGCTCAAGGTAACTTGTTTCCATTATTATAAGAACTATTCTAATGGTTGCTAACATTTTAAACACTTCAGCAGGAGAAGTTATAATAGTCTAATTTCATGAACTATCTTATTTATTTCCCAGAACTCTCATAAAGCAGATACTATTATTCCCCATTTCATTAATAATCAGTGAGTTCAGTATTCAATAAATAAAATATTAATATCCAGAATATACAAAGAAAAAACGTGAACAGGATAATCCAATTAATAAATAGGCAAACAAACTGAACAAGTAGTTCTCAGAAAAAATACAAATGGCCAATAGACACTTGAAGAAATGCAAATCAAAACCACACTAAGATTCCACTGCACCTCAATCAGAAGGACATCAATCAAGAAAACAACAACAAATGCTTGTGAGATGCAGAGGAAAAAGGAACTCTCATATACTGCTGGTGGGAATGTAAACTAGTACAACCACATGGAAATCAGTAAGAAAGTTGTCCAAAGAAAAAGTAAAAAAAAAAATCTTCCAGCAGTGCTGATGGCTCATGCCTGTAATCCTAGCTACCAGGGATCACAGTTTGAAGCCAGTCCAAGCAGAACAGTCCCCGTGAGACTCTTATCTCCTATTAACCATTCATAAACCAGAAGTGGCACTATGGCTCAAAGGGTAGGGCACTAGCCTTGAGCACAAGAGGCTCAGGGTCAGCACCCAGGCCCTGAGTGCAAGCTCCACAACCAACCAACCAAAAAAAAAAAAAAAGACCTTCCTTAGGATTCCACCTTACCACTATCAGACATGTATCTGAAGGAGAGTAAATTAATATACCAGAAAGAACCTGCACATCTATGTTTATTGCAGCATTGCTCACAATAGATAGTAAAATGCAAAAATAGAATTATCTGAGATAACCAACAATGCATGAATGGCTAAAGAAGATGTGCTGTGGAATATTACACAGACAAAGAAAAATGAGGGTGGCAGGGCTTCAGGGAAATCTACATTTTAATTTAATACAAATTCATAACTTCCTCCAAAAGAAGAAAAAGAAAAAAGAAATTATGTATTTGCAAGAAAATACATGCAATTGGAGGAAACATACTGAGTAAGGCAAATCAAGCTCAATCAAAAAGCTGTTGTTTACACTTATATGTAAACTCTAGACCTTGGATTTCATGAGCATATATTTGCATATATATATATATATATATATATATACACACACACATACATATGTATACACAATGATATACATGGAGAAGCAAAGAAGAAAAATAAGTGTGGATAATTTTTAAATACATGATAAAGCCGGGCGCCAGTGGCCCATGCCTGTAATCCTAGGTACTCAGTAGCTGAGATCTGAGGATTGAGGTTCAAAGCCAGCCCCACCAGGAAAGTCCTTAAGATCCAGGCCCAGAGTTAAAGCCCCACAACTGACCAAAAAAAAAAAAAGACAGACAGACAGACAGACATGGTAACTATATATGAAAACAAAACAAAACAAAACAAAAAAAACTCCAATGAACTGGGGGATGGAAGGATGAAGAAAGAGAAATAGGCTCTGTGGGAATGGGGGTGAGAGCTGTGGAGGAAGTAAGGAGTATGAGTAGGCAGTGGGGGAATGAGGGGTGGGGATGTACTGGTCGAAATGGGTAGTGCTAACAAGAGGATGAATGTGGTGGAAATAGATTGTTTTCAACTATGAAAACAGAGTAATGAAGCCTGTTGAAATTGTTTTGAGAAGGGAGGAAGGAAAGTGATAGAAGGAGTAAGGCAGGAAAATATTGTAAACATATGTAACAATGAAATCCTTCACTGTATAACTAATGTAAGCTGATAATTTTAAAAAAGATAATTAGTAGTTAGTTCAGTCTAATTAAGATTTGCCTACTAGGCTGGGGGCAGGGTTCTAGTGAGCCCTGAGTTCAAACCCCACAAAAGTAAAATAAAGACTTGCCTGTAGAGACTCAGTTGATAAAGTCAAAATTTGACGTTAGATCCAGCTCATTCCAAAACCCTACTTATCATATGCTTTGCCTTCTGTAGCCTGGTGGACTGGTCTTCCCTGAGTAATCATCAATGAACTGTTTTCCTTCAAATCTTTCCCACTGGGCACACCATGGGTGATGCTTAGCAAATACAAATGAAACAAAAAATATTGTTTGGAAGGTACCAACTCTTTTCCAGGTAGGTGACCTTTAGGAGGTAGTCTGTCTGTGTCCAGCAAATGACACCAAGCCTTGATGCCTCCCAACAGCTCCATGAGGTCAAGGGGGTAAAGTGTACTGATTCTGTTTAGTTTTGTGTCAACCCTAAGGAGGTTGCCCTGAGTGTAATGCTTGAACGCGTGGCACAAAAACAGAAGATAAGTCACCATATCAACACAAGAGAAGGCAGTAAGAACAGCCTAACAAAGTTTAGTCTCATCACACAAGTAGGTGTGGGGACACACAGCAGTTATACATAACATGGCCCCAAACAAGCGTGACACTAAGACCCACAACAACTGGGCAGGCACATACACCCACACAACTAGACTCACGATATTCAGATATGCTCCAACATGGACAATACAACAAATAACCAGATGCAAAACACACCAAGCACAAGGAAAGGTGTGCTCACAGAAGTCCCACAAAAAATCCAGCCCCACCGACACAGTCAAGAATCTATGCTTCACGCTTGCCAAGTTCAGAACCACACTTCGAGCCCACCCCCCTGGCCACCCGGCGCTCACTGTGGGTGACGGTCACGTTGAGCCCGCTTGCTGCCATGTCCTCGGTCTGGGTCGCCACCTCGATTGGAATCATGTACTCGCTCCGGGTCAACTTGGCGGTGGTCAACTCCCAGGGCTGGGTTACCTCCTCGGGCTGGGTCACCACCGTGGCCTGGGTCACCTCCGGGGCCTGGGTCAGCTGCGCGGTCTGGGGCACATCGGCGGGCAGGATCACTTCCGCCGTGTAGATCAGCTGTCGGGCCCGGGGCACCTCTCTTATCCGCGGCACCTCTCTGGTTCGGGGTACCTCTCTGGTCCGGACCACTTCTCTGATCCGGGCCACCTCCTCGACCCGGGCCACCTCCTCAGCTTTGGGCAGCTCCTCGATCCCGGCTACTTCCTCAGTCTCGGCCACCTCCTTGGTCCCGGCCACCTCCTTGGTCCCGGCCACCTCCTTGGTCCCGGCCACCTCCTCCGCCGTGGTCACCTCCTTGTCCTTGCTCCGGGACGCCTGCTTGCCCCGGGTTGCCTGCTTGCCCTGGGCCGCCTCGTCGGCCTGGGTCGTCTCTTTGCGCCGGGTCCCCTTCTCGCTCCGGGTCGAGCGAGGACGGCCTTTCTTCTTTACCCGCGGCCTACCGGAGCCGGTGGCGGAGCCTCTGGTGGATCGCTCATGCCCGCTGGTTGCACTCCGCAAGGAGGGACGCTGAGAGGGAGGCTGGCGGCGCTCGCCTGGGCGTTCCGACTGGCGCGACTCCCGGCCAGACCGAGGACCGCGCCGCCGGGGGCCCAGCCGCTCCCGGTCGCCTCGCGGCCTCCGCGCGCCGCCCCGCTCCGCCAGGCCCGCGCTTGTTGACCGCTCAGCGATGGCAGCTGAGCGCCCGGCAATCCTGGGGGGCGACTTCCTGGCCCCGCCCCTGCCAACTGGCCCCGCCCCCCGCGTTGCCCTCTCTCCGGCCCCGCCCAATCCGCCAAGTCCTCCTTCAGGCCCCACCCACTTAGCCAGGGCCCCGCCTCCCTCATCTGAATTCACTCTGCCGCCGCCAAGGCCCCGCCTTCGTCAGACCCTCTTTCTGCCCCTCCCAGTGCCTTGCGCCAGTTTCCCCCGGAAGGCGGAGCTGAAAACCCGGCAAAGAAGGATGAGGAAACTAGAGCGAGCTCAGTGCGCTTGCGCATGGAGGGGCCGGAAGCGGGAGCGGCAGTGACTCTACTTCCGCTTTGGGATTTTTCTCCAGTGTTTGGGTTTCTTGTCGGCTGCTCAAGATGAACCGATTCTTCGGGAAAGCGAAACCCAAGGCTCCGCCACCCAGCCTGACTGACTGCATTGGCACGGTGGGCACCTGACCATGAATAACTAGCCTCAACGCTTCCATGCTCCTGACCCCGCCCATCCCCTGTCCCCGGCTCCCACTCTTTCACTCCAGTCCTACTTCCCAGCTCTTTAAAACCTCGGCCTTCTCCATCTCCTCGCTTCATCCCTGTTTTCTAAGTCATTCCTGACGCCACAAACCAGGGATCCCCCTCCTAGCCTCATCACTGCTTCGCACCCCACCCACACTGATGCTCATTGCCCAGGCTACTCCTTCTCAGCCTCGCCTCCTCCAGCCTACCCTAGGCCTAGACGCTCTCCCTAATTCATCTAGTCCGACATTTTCTTTTCACCCTTTTTTTCATCTCTCATCCATTGCCCATGTCAGGGCTCTTTCTGTGATATACTGGGTTAATGCATGTGTACTTTTTTTTCGATCTGAATCTCCGAAACAATTCAGAACCTTGGTCTCTGAGATTAGTATCCCCCCCACCCCCCTTCCAACTAGGGAATGGCATTTGAAATAGTCTTAGCCTAGCTGGGCGCTGGTGGCTCACGTCTGTAATCCCAGCTACTCAGGAGGCTGAGATCAGAGGATCATATTCCAAACCAGCCAGGGAAGCCAGCCATGAGTCTCTTGTTTCCAGTTAACCACCAGAAAACCGAAAGTAGCTCAAGTTGTAGAATGCTAGCCTTGAGCAAAAGAGCTCAGGGACAGGCCTAGGCCTTTAGTTCAAGCCCCACTATTGACGCACAAAAAAAAATCTTAGCCTATGTCTTCACTAGACACAGGCTTATTTCCTATGCCTCTTTGTTGAATCGACGGCCTGACTCATTACCAAGGGAAATCTCAATCCAGTGATTCTCAAATTGTTTTTCTACCCCAACACTTGAGGGGGGACTTTGGGTATCAGAAACCTGGAGATGGAATGTGGTTTACAAAAAGTGTTTCTGACTGGAAATCTACACACACACACACATACACACACACACACACACACACACACACACACACACACACACCTAGAGATGGAATGTGGTTTACAAAAAGTGTTTCTGACTGGAAATCTACACACACCCCTCTACCTGAATCAGTTTCTCACCTTTCCTCATATACTTTCCTTGCTTTGCTTCCATCAATTCCTTCCTCTCCGGTCCCCTTCTGTGAGTATATCACAGTCACTATTTTTGATTTGCATTTGGTATTTTTCCCCAAGGTGGATAGCAGAGCAGAATCCATTGATAAAAAGATTTCCCGGCTGGATGCTGAGCTAGTGAAGTATAAGGATCAAATCAAGAAGATGAGAGAGGGTCCTGCCAAGGTAAGATAGGCAGCTACTGTTGTAGAAAGTACTGCAACAGCCTCATTTGAGCACCTGTGAAATAAGGCTGGGTGGTAGAGACTGGTAAAGTATAGTGAAGAGATGCTCAGTCTGGTAGAGGAAACGTGAGGGTGTATGCTTCACAGATGGAGTTTGAAGCTAGATTCTTTAAAATATTATTAGGTGTTGTGCAGAGATGTTACTATTTGATGTCTTTTGAGGCAGTGTATTTGAGGGACAGTGTATTTGGACAGTATTGGAGGGAAATTGAGGTTTGATCTTGTGGAGAGAGGATGTCAATCACAAGTCCTGAAGCATGTACATAGGAATTAGTACATTCTACTGAGAAGGTGGCACTCTGGAGAAAAGGGCTGGGTCCTGCTTAGGTTTACGGAGTTACCAAGCTGGTTAGGTTAGATAGATAATTAGACTAGTTAAAGAGGGGCATCCTGGAAAAAATTACCGATTTAGACCTATGGGGCCAATGTTCTATTACTGTCACTACACTACACTGACTAGCTGTGATAAAGTCACCTATATTTAACTAAATAGGAATATAGAAAGCTATGTTTAGGTGCAGACTGTGAATATAGAGCTACCTTGTTTTTTCCAGCTCTCTTATTAACCACTATAAGCCAGGGTATTGGAGAACCTTGGCTTTTCCTTCTATATAAGGGGTATGATATATGCTTAGAAGTTTGAAGATTAAATAAGGCAATTTATGTGACCTGAAAAGCATGTCTAGACCATAGTAGTACTCAATAATGTCAGCTATTATTGTCTGTGAGGTAATAATATCTGTTTTCCTTCATTGGAGGAGACAAAATCACATATGGACCAGTTAAGACGAAAGGATTTTCCCAGCCATCTTAGTTGATTTTTTTTTATTGCCATTTTGTTTGTGCCAGTGCTGGGGCTTGAACTCAGGGACTGGGTGCTATATCCCTTAGCTTTTTTACTCAGGGCTGGTACTTTATCACTTGAGCCAGGGCTCCACTTCTGTCTTTTTGGTGGTTAATTGGAGATAAAAGTCCCATGGACCTTCCTGCCCTGACTGACTACAAACCACGATCCTCAGATCTCAGCCTTCTAAGTAGCTAGGATTACAGATATGAACCACCAGTGACTGGTGATATAAAAGTGTTTTAGCTTCAGAAGTGAGGAGTTGGTGGGGTCATTGTTAGTTGTTTCCAAGGAGTTTGTGCTTGTTAGGTTTGGATTGACAGTGGGTGTTCAACTGGGGACTCTGCTAAGGTAATTGGATATGCAAGCATTAGGAAAAGGGAAAGTAGTTAAGGATGGTGTTATGTGGGTTGCAAAAACAGATAAAACTACACATTAGTGATATCTGTACTTAGGAAGGGAACAAAATCCAGGAGTACTATTCCTGTCTGTTCCTTTGAAGAAGAGATGTATGTGAATCTGAGGATATGGATGATTCCTTTTACTATATATGTGTTTTCTACTTACTTTTTATTTAATATGTTTTTCTCCTCAGAATATGGTCAAGCAGAAAGCCCTGCGGGTTTTAAAGCAAAAGCGAATGTAAGTTATATGCATGATCTCCTTCTCTGTAGCGGTTTTAATAAAAAGGAAAATAGTCTTCCATTTTACCTGGGTTTCATACCATTTTCTAAATGTTCTTGATTGAATTACAAATTTTCAAAATTTTGATTTTAATGACTAGTACTTTGAGCGGGTCAGGTCCATAGGGTTTGGTTCTCCATTACTTAGGTCATAAAATAGACCCTTGTTATCCCTTGACTATATGGTTCCAAGGAGACTACTATATATCTTCAATATGTGCAAATTTCAGTACTATACTTTGAACGCTTAATTCATATTTCCCATAATGCCATCCAGTGGTCTTGAAAGATATATTGTCTTTCAACCATCTAAAAATTTCACTTCACTTAAAATTTGCTTTTGGGGCACCATTTGAAAAACATGTTTTTACAAAAAGGTGGGGAAATGATAAGGTGATATTGACTTAGGATTTCTCTGCATCAGCTGAGCTGTATAATGTATGTGCAGGAAATTATTCTGTTGTTTTTTGTTTTTGTTTTGTTTTTTTGCCAGGTCCTGGGTCTTGAATTTAGGGCCTGGGTGCTGTCCCTAAGCTTCTTTGTACTCAAAGCTAGTGTTCTACCACTTGTACAGCACCACTTCTGGCTTTTTCTGAGTAGTTAATTGGAGATGAGAGTCTCATAGATTTTTTTTCCTCCCTAGGCTGGCTTTGAACCACAATCCTCAGATCTCAGCCTCCAGGGTAGCTAGAACTATAAGTGTGAACCACTGGCACACAGCTAATTGTTTCTTTTGACTTTTTTTTTTAACCACTCTTGGTCAAAGCCATGTGTATTAACTATGCAAACATGGCAGGCTTATTGTATGCTCTTTTTGGTTCTATTTGTACAATTAGACATGCTGAATATTTTCTCTTAACCATAATGGATTTTTTGTGTGCATTTCTGTGTAATGCCAGGCCTAGGTCTTGAAATTAAGGCTTGGGTATTGTCCCTGAGATTTTTTGCTCAAGGCCTAATACTCTACCACTTGAGGCACATTTCCAGCTTTTTTTGCTCAAGGCTACTACTCTGCCACTTGAGTCACACCACCACCTCTGGATTTTATTTTTGTAGTTAGAGATCAGAGCCTTACAGATTCTCCTGCCCAGGTTGGCTTTAAACGCAGATCTCGACCTCCTAAGTAGCTAGAATTACAAATGTGAGCCATCAGCCATGACATATTTATTAATTTGTTAGTTTTTATAGTACTGGGGATTACATCTAGAGCCTCATGCATGTTAAGTGACTGCTTTTTACCAAGTGAACAATGCTTTTAGTCCTTTTGTTTTTATTATGTTTTTTCAATATAGGCTCTTGTTAACTTTTCCTAGACTGGCCCTCTTGAGATCTTCTTCTGCCTCCAAGTATCTGGGATTACAGATGTCTGCTACAAAAAAAAAAAAAAAAGCCCAGCTCAGTTCATTTTGGGCTGCTGTGTGTGTGTGTGTGTGTGTGTGTGTGTGTGTGTGTGTGTGTGTGTGTGTGTGTGTGTGTGTGTGAGAGAGAGAGAGAGAGAGTCAAAGAGAGTCGTGGGGCTTGAACTCAGGGCCTGGGTGCTGTCCTTGAGCTCTTTTGTTCAAGGCTAGCACTCTACTACTTGGAGCCACAGCTCCACTTCTGGTTTTCTGGTGGCATTTCAATTTTTTGTTGTTTTGAGACGGATTTTGCTATCTAGCCCAGGTTGGCCTCAAACTCTCCATCCTCCTGCCTCAGCTTCCCGAGTGTTTGTATTACAGGCGTCCCATACCTGACTCAAAAAACTTTCCCCCTCCTCATGCCAGGGATCAAACCCAGGTCCTTAAAAATGCTGAGCAAACATTCTGCTACTGAGCCATACCCTGAGCTCAACATTGCAATTTTTAAGTATTAGTTTTTATTAATATAGATTCATTGTAGAAACTTGGGAAATACAAAAACAGAAGAAAATTTAGCTCCTTTCTTACTACTAGAAATAATCACCTTTAAAATGCTAAATTCTAGGCTAGGGTCATGGTAGATTACTTGCCTAGCAAGTGTAAGGCCCTGAATTCAAACCTTAGGACTACCGAAAAAAGAGAGAGAGAGAGAAAGAAAGAAGTAAAATGCTAAAATTTCTGGCGAGGTATTATGGTACATGCTTGTAATCTTAACACTGTAAAAAAAAGGGGGAGGGGGAGGGGGTGGCTCACACCTGTAATCCTAGCTACTCAGGAGGCTAAAGTCTGAAGATCATGATTCGAAGCCAGCCCAGGCACAAAAGTCAATAAGACTCTTCAGTTAGTCACCAAAACTACAGAAGTAGAGCTTTGGCTCAACAGGTAGAGCACTAGCTTTTAGCAAAAGAAGCTCGCCCTGAGTTTAAGACCCAGGACCAGAACTAGAAAAAGGAAAGGGGAAGCTAATTTTTTCCAGTGTTTTTTTTTCCCCCCTCTGCTTATGTATAACTATCATATTTACATAAAATATTATAGAAGAAAAGTGAAATGATAATGTCTTGATACATCATTATTTTCTGTTTAATGTTGTGTTATGGGCATTTTCTGTCCTTTTAAATATTCCATCAAGAGTCAGGCATTGGTAGCTGAAGTCTATAATCCTGGCTACTCAGGAGTCTAAGACCTGAAGATTCCTGGCTTGAAGCCAGCCCAGGCAGGAAAGCCTATGAAACTCTTATCTCAAATTAACTACCAAGAAAGGCAAAATTGGAGCTGTGGCTTAAGTGATAGAGCTCTAGCCTTGAGCAAAAAAGCTCATGGACAGTACCCAGGCCTAGGAGCTACATCCAAAAAAATGCCCCCCCTTCCCCACTCCTCCCCACTAGAATTTGAACTCTACTACTTGAGCCATACCCCACAGTCCAATAATTATAAAAACTTGGCTGGGACGGTAGCTCAGTGGTAGAGTGCTTGCCTCACATGCATGAGGCCCTGGGTTCGATTCCTTAGTACCACATAAGCAGAAAAAGTAGGAAGTGGCTCTGTGGCTCTAGTGACAGAGCATTAGCCTTGAGCTGAAGAGCTAAGGGACAGCACCTAGGCCCAGAGTTCAGTCCCCAAGACCTCCAAAAAAAAGTAAAAATAAAGAATTTAGATATGTAGCAAGACTAGTCTTGATGGCAATATGCCTGAAATCTTAGCACTAGGAAGTCCAAGGTAAGAAAATTACAAATTATAAGCCAGCCTTGGCAACATAGCAAGACTGTCTCAAAAAATACTTTAAAAATAAAATATAAGGATGGGAAGGATAAACAAAGGAGGAGGCAACAATGCTTGATATGAAATGGACTCATTACTTTGCCCATGCAATTGTAACCTGTCTACAGTATTTTCACAATTAAAAAAATATATGTATATAATTATAGAAAAAATCTATAATGTTAAGTGGAAAATAGCATTGTAACTTGACATGCAAAGGGAAAAAAAACTAGAGACTTGTGATAATTTTTTTAAGTGGAAAATAGCATTGTAACTTGACATGCATAGGGAAAAAAAACTAGAGACTTGTGATAATTTTTTTTAAGTATTTTGACCTTTTTAACTTTAAAATTATGATCAAAATACTTTGTTCCAGTAGATTTCCATCTGGCTCACATTTCCCATTCTCACTTGATTCTATATAAGGTATGAGCAGCAGCGGGATAACCTTGCCCAGCAGTCCTTTAACATGGAACAAGCCAATTACACCATCCAGTCATTGAAAGACACCAAGACCACGGTATGCCCAAAAGCACCTTTCCCATTATATTATTAGTCTTGTACTCTTTCTGAAGGGTTTTTAAAGTCAGTTTAGTCAACATGACTTGTTAAGATACTATATTTTCTACTTTTTATTTTTAGGTGGATGCAATGAAGCTAGGAGTAAAAGAAATGAAGAAGGCATATAAGCAAGTGAAAATTGACCAGATTGAGGTGAGATGTATGTTAGTTTCTGCAAGAATGAGCACTAATTTCTGTAAGATGCAAATACTGAGTGCTTGATAGGAAGAGCAAAGGGAGATTGGATCTCAAGCCTGCCATTTACTAGTGGAAAGAATTCCAAAACTATCAGTTTCATAATTGTTAATGCAGAGTTCCTAATACCACATGTAGTTTTTATGCAGATGAAATAAATGAACACCCTGACAGAATAAACACCCAGTAGTTACTTCTTTTTTTTTTTTCTTTTTTTGTTGGTGGTGGTGGTAGTCATAGAGCTCAACCTCAGGCCTGGACATTGTCCCTGAGGTTTTTTACTCAAGGCTAGCACTTTACCACTTTGAACCACAGCACCACTTCTGGTTTTCTGGTGGTTAATTGGAGGTAAGAATCTCATGGACTTTCTTACGTGGGCTGATTTTGCAATCCTTAATCCCCCTTTTTTTTTGGTCAGTTATGGGACTTGAACTGGGCCTGGGAGCTGTCCCTGAGCTCTTCAGCTCAAGGCAAGTGCTCTACCATTTGAGTCACAACATTACTTCTGGTTTTCTGGTGGTTAATTAAAGATAAGAGTCTCACAGACTTTTCTTTTTTTTTGATTGGTCATGGGGCTTGAACTCTGGGCTTGGGCGCTCAAGGCAAGCATTCTACCAATTGAGCCACAACATCACTTCCGGTTTTCTAGTTGTTTATTGGAGATAAGAGTCTCACAGACTTTCCTTCCCAGGCTGGGTTTGAACCTCGATTCTCAGATGTCAGCCTCCTAAGTAGCTAGGATTACAGGCATGAGCCACCGGTGCCCAGTTTTAGTTCCATTTTTTTTTTTTTTTTTTGGTCGGTCATGGGGCTTGAACTCTGGGCCTGGGTGCTGTCCCTCAGCTCTTCAGCTCAAGGCAAACGCTCTACCACTTGAGCTACAGCGCCACTTCCGGTTTTCTGGTGGTTTATTGGAGATAAGAGTTTCAGGGAGTTTCCTGCCAGAGCTGGCTTTGAACCACGATCCTCAGATCTCAGCCTCCTGAGTAGCTAGGATTACAGGCGTGAGCCACCAGTGCCCGGCTTTTAGTTCCATTTTTACGTGAGAAAATTAAGGCCTGGTGACATTTCTCCTCATTAAGTAATGCAAATTCTGTACTGGGGCAGTAACTCAACAGCACAGTATATATTATGGTTTGCACATACCTTGAATTTAATCCCTAGCCAAAAAAGTAAGGAAAAGAAATTGAGGAAAGAATTATTGAAACCTCTGCTTTAGAGGACTATCTGCCCAGTTGCTGAGCACAAGCCAGTCACAAGCCAAGGACAGGTTAGGGAGGAGAACTAACAGTTATGCTTGGCCTTCTGTGTACATTGTCTTTTTAAAAATTGCTCATTCCTAAGGTTCAAAGGAGAGGAAGAGAGCAATTAGAGAAAAATGGTAAAAAATAAAAGAAAATCCTCTACATTTCTATAGGATTTACAAGACCAGCTAGAAGATATGATGGAAGATGCAAATGAAATCCAAGAAGCACTGAGTCGAAGCTATGGCACCCCAGAATTAGATGAAGATGACCTAGAAGCAGGTAGGTTCTAAGAAAAACAATTATAATGTATATTTAGTTTTAGAGTCTGAAGCCTGGGGTCTTTTCTCAAATGTTAGTGAAAATTCCTATCAGGATTCCCTCAGCATTCACTGGATTTCCTCAGGATTCACTGAGGTAGAGAAACTAACGCAAGGTCCAGCTTAAAAAGCCTGGCCTTAACTTGTCCTTTCTCTGCTGTTTTTCTTTTGACTTTGTTCTATTTTCCTCTCTCAGAATAGCAAAGCATCTCCTGCATGTTAGGGGGCTTAGCACTAAAGAAACAAATAATTTTTTAATATACGAAGCTTCTACTGTAGCAGTGGGAGAAATATGAACTGCCTACTTCTTTTCCTAAATAATTCTAAAAACTCATGGTTGGGAAGTATGAGATATGGGAGCTTATCCCAAGGGAATCTAACCTAGTTTGTAGTATAGGACAGGCTCAGGACCTGTGCTAGGGGCTAGGACAAAAAAAAAGGGACACGGGAGGGGAGGGAAAAGAATTGTTGAGTAGCCTCAGAGAAAGTAGTTTCTTCTGGTGGTACTGGGGTTTGAACACAGGTCCTTGTGCTTATGAGGCAGATGCTCTACCATTTGAGAGACACCCCACACTAGAGAGAGTTTAGAAGCTATACTATAGTCTGAAAAGACAAGAGAGAGAAATGGACAGATGAAATGGATGAGATTTGATGATTGGTTGGATATGAGAGAAAATAAAGTATGCCAAAGATGTTTGTTCATTTCTATCAGGAGTAACTGGGTATATAGAGGAACCACCCCCAAACTGCATTTTCTATTAAGTAATGCCTCTCTCCCCTGCTATCCTCTCTTCCTCTCCCTCTTCCTCTGCCTCTTTCTCTCCTTCCCATTCCTCCTCCTTTCTCTACCTCACTTCCCTGTCCTTCCCATTTTATCATTTTACCTAGAACCTTTTTTCTATTCATTTTTTAAAACTTTCTGTCTTGAGTTCCTTTTTTGAATCTCCCCATGCTGTTATTTTTCCTCTTGTTTACCTCCACCTCACTTACCAGAGTTACTCTTACAGCCTAATTTCATATAATTATTATATATTATCCAACAATTTCATGCCTCCTTTCACTGCTTTCTTTCAAGTCCATCAGTGAATTAGAGAATTTGTACTTATTATAATCCATTTCCCAGCTTGAATTGTCCTAATCTTCTCATCAAAACTAGGAGCCTATAAACCTTTGGGGAATTGGTTCATTTGTGTGTTTTATTTTGCTTTTTGTTTTCCATAGATTTTATATGTCAGTTTCCTTAGAAATTTCCTATAATTGTCTTTTATTTTAAAAATAGAAGTTAATAATCCATTTCCCTTTGTATTTCAATCTTAGGCTTACCTTGTAACATTAGGTGCCAGTTTTCTTGCTTAATTTTTTTTTGAAATGATGCATATATTAATTTCAGAGTTGGATGCATTGGGTGATGAGCTTCTGGCTGATGAAGACAGTTCTTATTTGGACGAAGCAGCATCTGCACCTGCAATTCCAGAAGGTGTTCCCACTGACACAAAAAACAAGGTGAACATTTTCTGCTTATTTTTACCTAGAACCTATTTTGAAATGTGGAAAAGATTTCATGCCCACCAGACTGAGATTACATTTTTTTTTTTCCCTGTTGAGACAGTTGGCTCACATTATACTCCTATCTCAGCTTCCCAAAGAGCCAAGAAGAAAATCCCACTTTCTAGACACAGTAAATAATTACTGAGTGGATTTGTGTGTATGTTATTCAGGGCCTTGTGCTTACATCTTGCACCAGCCCTTTTCATCTTTGTTGTTTTTGGAATAAGTTCTCACTTAAGGTATGTTTGAACTGGACTGGACCAAGATATACCTATTTACATTTTCCATGTAGCCAAGGTAATAGTCACAAACCATTTCATACCTATTGGTTGAAATGGGGTCTCAAGGTTATGCCCAGGCAGACCTGAAACCATGAGCCACCAGCACCTAGCCTTGAGTGAATCTTTTTTTTCTTTTGGTCTGAGGCCAGGACAAGAACTCAGTACCTGCTGCTTTCACTCACTGGCTAGCACTGTATTAACTGAGCAATGCCTCCATCCTTTTGAGAGATTTTTTTTTTCCTAATATGAGTTAATTAAGTATAAAACTTATATGGGATTGGGAATGTGGCTTAGTGGTAGAGTGCTTGCCTAGCATGCATGAAGCCCTGGGTTCAATTCCTCAGTACCACATAAACAGAAAAAGTTGGAAGTGGTGCTGTGGCTCAAGTGGTAGAGTGCTAGCCTTGAGCACAGAAAGGCTTAGTGACAGTAGTGTCCAGGCCCTGAATTCAAGCCCCAGGATTGGCAAAAGAAAAACAAAAAGCTTAATGTGAAAGATTCTAATTTCACAAAGTAAGAAATAGGATTTTTGGTATTAATTGTGACACATTAATTAGCTGTTTTGAGCTTTCTTATTCTTTGTAAATATAAATTGCAGGTAATTTACAAGTATTTCACATAATTGAAAAAAGTAACTTAGAGGCTGGTATGTAAAAGACTTTGCAAACTTCAAACCCTGTCCAAATCTTCATAGCTGTCTTTATTTTAAAAAGTATTTTATTGCTTATAAAATTTCATTTGCTCCACCTTAGCTCTTAGTATAATGTATTACAATGTTGTTGTTGTTTTTTTTGGGGGGGTCAGGTCGTGGGGCCTGAACTCTGGGCCTGAGCACTGTCCCTCAGCTCTTCAGCTCAAGGCTCGCGCTCTACCACTTGAGTCACAGGGCCACTTCCGGCTTTTTTCTTTTTTGTTTATGTGGTGCTGAGGAATCAGGCATGCAAGGCAAGCGCTCTACCACTGAGCCATCTTCCCAGCCCCCTACAATGTATTTTTTTATCTATTGCCACTGGACATTTATAGTCTTAGTTTTTCCTTACATCCCCGTGTGTGTGTGTGTGCGTGTGTGTGTGGTGTGTGTGTGTGTGTGTGTGTGTGTGTGTGGAATATATATATATATATATATATATATATATATATATATATATATATACATTATAGTTGACAGAATTTTGTGTAGAAACTACTCCTAGCGCTACTATATTTTAAGCAAATAAGAAATTCATGTCTACTTTCAGAATATCAGTTTTCCCGCCTAGAAAATGTGGGGAGCTAGGACTGGGAAGGTGGATCAGTGGTAGAACGCTTGCCTTGCATGCATGAGGCCCTGGGTTCGATTCCTCAGCACTACATAAGCAAAAAGAAAAAAGCCGGAAGTGGCGCTGTGGTTCAAGTGGTAGAGCGCTAGCCTTGAGCTGAAGAACTGAGGGACAGCGCCCAGGCTCAGAGTTCAGGCCCCACGACTGGACCCAAAAAAAAAAAAAAGAAAATGTGGGGAGCAAATGACAGGGAATATTTTTCCCAGGACCCTTATAATTGTTTTCTGCAAGTGTTTATCTTGTACCTCTTTCTACCTTAACTTGGGGTAGGTGGTCTTAATTTTCTCTCATTGTTATTGTCTTAGGTGAGATTTTGATTTGGATTGATTAAACACTTGGAAAAAATTTTTTTTAATTAAGATTGACACTAAACCTTGATTACTTTTCACAGGATGGAGTGCTGGTGGATGAATTTGGATTGCCACAGATCCCTGCTTCATAGACTTGCATCATCCAAGTACATCATGTAAAATAAATACATATGCTGGGATTAGGAAATATTTCCAAATTTGCCATAACAAATTTAGGTTTCTTTGCTTTCTTTGAAAGAAAGTTTAATTACATTGCTCCTTTTCATTTTTTTTCCGTTAAAAACTTAATACTTGGGCAAGCTTTCTTTGTACTAAAATATGATTCTTTTCTCTTAGGGAAAACTAACTTAAAAGTAACTTTGACTTTATATGATTGTTTTTCACTTATTAATAATAATTTGAAATAAAACCATGGATATTAGACTCTTAAATTCTATGACAGTGTTGGCTGGGTGCTGGCATCTCACTCCTGTAAGCCTCCTTACTCAGGAGGTTGAGTTCTTAGGATCACTGTTTAAAGCCAGACCAGACAAGAGTCTGAAAAGTCTATGAGACTCTGACCTCCAGTTAGCCAACAAAAAGCCAAAAGTAGAGTTGTGGCTCAAGTGGTTTAATGCCAGCGTTGAGCAACAAAGCTAAGCAAGAGGACAAGTCCCTGAGTTCAAACCCCCAGTACCAGCACACACACAAACTAAATTCTGTAACAGTGTAACTCTTAGTCTCAATGTGACCTGATAATGATGAGATAAAGATGAGATTATGAGACAATTTGTATTATGATTCAAAACCAATTTCTCTTACATTAGAGGTGGGTTAAAGTGATGGCTTTTTGATAGGATTTGTTGTGTCTTGTGATTTGTGAACAAGTCATTATTGTGTTCAATATTGGAATAATGGAATTAACACTACTGTGTCATGAGTGGATATTTTGGTTCTGTAGTTTCCTCAGTATTACAGCTTGACTTGTAATCAGTAATGAATATTTCTTGATATTTAATGTATAGGACTTTATTTATACTCAATAAATATTTTTCAAATGGATATAATTTTAATAACTTCAACCTAAAACTTCTACAGAAACCACTTTAAACTCAGTAGGATTGTGGTATAAATGAAAGAGCAAGCCAGTCGCTAGTGGCACATACATATCTGTAATCCTAGTTACTCAGGAGGCTGAGATCTAAGGATCATCGTCCAAAGCCAGCCTGGGCAAAAAAAGTCTGTGAGACTCTTATCTCCAATAAACTACAAAAGGCCAGAAGTGGCTCAACCTGATAGAGTGCTAGCCTTGAGCAAAAGAGCTCAGGAATAGTACCCAAGCCCCCTACTTCAAGGAATCCAGGAGCCAGTGTCTCTCACCTATAATCTAGCTACTTGGGAGGCTGAGGTCTGAGGATCTTGGTTCAAAACTAGCCCAGACAGACAAATCTGAGACTGTAATCTCCAGTTAAATACCAAAAAGCTAGAAGTAAAGCTGTGGCTCAAGTGGTAAAGCACAAAGAAACCATACACACGGGGCTAGAGGCTCAAGCAATAGCAAAGGCAAAGTCCTTGAATTCAAACTCTAATATCACCAAGAAATAATAACAGTGATAAAAATAAGTAATGAAAGCAAAAAAGGCAGTGGTGTGGCTCATGTGGTAGACTAGTTAACTAGCAGGTGTGAGTCCTTGAGTTCAAACATCAATACCACACAAAAATAATGAAAATACTCTAGAGGTGTCTCTGATGCCCACACTTTCCCTCACCCAATCAGAGAGATAGGATAGGATGAGGCAATTTAAAATAGATAAGAAGAGATCTTAATGTAAGATCTGAAACTTCAAAACTACTACAGGAAAACAGGGGAAACTTCAGAAAATACAGGCATAGACAATTTTTTTTTTTTTTTGTCGGTGGTAGGGCTTGAACTCTGGACCTGGGCACTGTTCCTCAGCTCTTCAGCTCAAGGCAAGCGCTCTACCACTTGAGCTACAGCACCACTTCCAGTTTTCTGGTGGTTTATTGGAGATAGGAGTCTCACGGTCTTTCCTGCCTCGGCTGGCTTTGAACCATTATCCTCAGATCTCAGCCTCCTGAGTAGCTAGGATTATAGGCGTGAGCCACCAGCGCCCAGCTGGCAATTATTTTTTTGAATAGAATTCCTGCCTAGCAAATCAGAACAAAATTGACAAATTGGAACCACATCAAGTTAAGAAGTTTCTGCACATCAAAGTAAACAATGATTGACCCCTGGTGGCTCAAGCCAGTAATCCTCACTACTCAAAAGGCTGGGATCCTGAGGATTGAGATTCAAAGCCAGCCTGGCAGAAAAGTTCATGAAATTCTTATCTCCAGTTAACTAGCAAAAAAGCCAGAAGTAGAGGTGTGGCTCAAAGTTAGAACACCAGCCTTGAGCTCAAAAAGCCAAAAAAGAGCACAGGGTACTGAGTCAAGCCCCATTACTGGCACCAAAACAAAACTATTTTGGACCTTCCATACATTGGACATATATCTGAAGGAGAGCAAATCAATATACAATAGAAATATCTACAAGCCAGGCACATGCCCGTAATTCTAGCCACTCGGGAATCAGATAATTCAGTGTGAAGCCAACCCAGACAGGAAAGACTTGAGTTTTTTTGTTTTGTTTTGTTTTTTTGTTTTTGTCGGTCATGGGGCCTGAACTCGGCTTAGTCACTGTTCCTGAGCTCTTCAGCTCAAGGCTAGTCTCTACCACTTGAGTCACAGCACCACTTCCAGCTTTTTCTGCTGATGTGGTGCTGAAGAATCGAACCTAGGGCCTCATGCATGCAAGGCAAGCACTCTACCACTGAGCCAACTTCCCAGCCCAAGACTGAGATTTTTTTTTTTTGTAGGTTGTGGGGCCTGAACTCTGGGTCTGGGCACTGTCCTTTAGCTCTTCAGCTGAAGGCTAGCGCTCTACTGCTTGAGCCATAGCACCACTTCCCTCTGTGGTGCTGAGGGATTGAACCCAGGGCCTCAGGCATACAAGGCAAGCGCTCTACCACTGATCCAAATTCCCAGCCCAAGACTGAGATTCTTATCTTCAATTAGACACCAAAAATCTGGAAATGGAGCAGTGGCTCAAGTAGTAGAGTATCAGCTTTGATTAAAAAAAAATCACTAAGGGACAGTGCCCAGGCACTGAGTTCAAACCCCAGTACCAGCACAAAAGAAAAAACAAACTTGCAACACCTACCATTGTTTTGTGCTAATCCTAGAGCTTGAACTCAGGGACTAGGTGCTGTCCCTGAACGTTTTGGCTTAATGCTAGCACTCTACAACTTGAGCCACAGCTCCACTTCTGGCTTTTTTCATGATTAATTGGAGATGAATCTCAAACTCCTGCCCAAACTGACTTTGAACTGTGATCCTCAGATCTCAGCCACATGCGTAGCTAGGATTGCAAGTGTGAACCTGGCTTAATACCTATCTTTATAGCAGTAAAATTTACAATAGCCAAACTATGGAACTAGTTTAAGTGCTCAGCAGATGACTAGATAAAGAATTTGTGGGGGCAAGGAAGGTGGCTCAGTGGTAGAGTGCTTGCCTTGCATGCCTGAGGCCCTGGGTTCCATTCCTCAGCACCACATAAGCAAAACGAAAAAAGCCAGAAGTGGTGCTGTGGCTCAAGTGGTAGAGCGCTAGCCTTGAGCTGAAGAGCTCAGGGACAGAGCCCAGGCCCAGAGTTCAGGCCCCATGACTGGACCCCCTCCCCCCGCCAAAAAAAAAGAATTTGTGGTATACTCATACCATATTACACTATGGAGTATAAATATTTAGATATTAGGAAGGATGACATGCACAGGAGAGCAGAGCTGGGGGTCGTCATGGTGACCAAGATAAGCCAAACTCAAAAGTCCAAACAAAATGTTTTCAGTGTGGAATCTAAGTCTGAAATGATGATGATGATAATAATGTGTCATGAGTGCGTGAAAATAAGAAGATAGCATAATGAAATCCACCAAAAACTTGGGGATGGAGAGGGTAGAGTTAGGGGTATATAATAAAAAGGGAGAACTTGTTCAGAGTACACTGTACAAAGCTATTAGGGTGATATGATTCTTTGTTCTCTGGAACAGTATGGAAATAAAGCCAAGAGCAGCAGAAAAACTTGAAGAGAAAGTATATTACAATGCAAAAGTAAAGCCTACTGGGAAGAGCCAGACAGGGTAGCCTTTTTTTGCTACTTTTATCCCTTTTTTTAAAATTCCTTTTTAATTAGGGGCAGGACTTGTTCAGGCAAAAGGCCTATTGGTCCATTTGAAATAGGATTAGGTGTTCAACTAGTTAGAGTGGTTTGGGTAGTTTTCTAAACTGGGGAACTAGAGACTAGGCAGGGAAGGGTTGGTTAGGCTGGTTGGGTTGTGTGGATAAGCTTTCAGGAACGATGGTTGGGTCCCTGAAGACTTTTGGGAATGCTGATAGGACCCCTGGGGGATGGTTGATGTACAACTGTTATAAGGCTACTAACCATGGCTTTTTCCCATCAAAGTTACCATAATAAACCCCTCTTGTACTATTGATATATGTTAATGAAAAATAGTAAAAAAAAGTATGTTAAGTATGAAAGGCTAGATAAAAGAATGTTTGTGACAGTGAGCAATGAGCTCTAAAGTTCTGATCCTTGAGATTCCCAGAATGCTGTAGATGTCTACAGTAATTCCTTTGATTCTGAGGTATCTCATTATATTGCAGTAAATCTCCTTTCCTGTTTAGTCAGGATTCCTGTAACTCACCAGAAGAAAGTCCTGAAATTTCCTGTCAGCCTCTCTTGTTAAATTTCTGTGTTGATCATTGTTCTACACCCCAGAGTCATGACTCATTGCCTCATCACCTAGAATGCCTGTCATTCAGAGACACTCATTGCCTCATCACCTAGAATGCCTGTCATTCAGAGACAATTCTTCCTATACAAGAGAAAAGCCAGAGAGCAGGCCTTAATCTGTGAACTGGCACACAAAGAAAGGGAGGGAGGGGGAGAGGGAGGGGGAAGGAAAGGAAAGGAGAAAGGATGAGACTTGTGATGAGGAGCCCCAGGTACCAGAGTATAGATTGTCACTCCAATAACGACTATTAGACAACCTATCTGTTCAGCATCTTACCTCATAGCCATTTAAGGAGACATAGAATTGAATAGAGGTGATGGGTTTTTGCTTTTGTAGGTTTGGAAGCTTTTTTTGGTAACAGGATTTGAACCTAGTCTCATGCTTGTGAGGCAGGCACTCTAAGCCAACCCCCCAGCCTAGTCTTAGTTTTTTTGTGTTGGGTTTTTTTTTGTTGGGAGGGGGATAGTCCTGGGGCTTGAACTCAGGGCCTGAGGGCTGCCCCTGAGCTTTTGTGCTCAAGGCTAGTCTTCTATCACCTGAGCCATAGCTATACTTCCATGGGTAGTAAAAAAGAGTTTCTAAGACTTTCATGCTCAGGC